ATGAACTTCTATGCTGGACGCAGGAACGGGCGAGTATAGACCTAACTAAAACCCTTCCCTATCCCTCTTTGCGTCGTCTCTGCCTGGATGTTAGACCCTATCTACGCGGATTCAATCCGTGCGTGGGAGTGTGCTTCCCAACCCAAAATAATATAGCAAATGGCAAAAGGTCACAACATTTTTTCCAAAGTCCAAGATGGCAACCTTATATATAACCCAAAAGGTCCATGCCTTTCGTCCCTTCTTTTACTAAAATTTGGCAGGGGCAACCAGCATTTTACACACCTGGAGACTGGATTTGACCAATCGGGGGATGTTCCGGGACAGGGTGACCCATCCAGAAGGGGGTTGTATATCTCCTCTGATAACTCCTCCCTCTGTCCTCTACCAATTGAAGTGGGCGTCAGCCCTGTAGGACCACCCCGAGAGGGGATTTCACCAAACAAGGAAGTGCTGTAGTGGAGTTACCTGCCCGCAAAAGGATCCCGTGATCCCTCTAAGAAGTCCCCCCACCACCCTTTACCAATTGGTGAGGGTTTCACTCCTACCTTAGGCCATCTCAGAAGGGAAACATGTACAAATCAGAACAGGTATAGCCCGAAGTCTAGGCCGTGATTTCTGCAAAAGACACCCTTGGAACGAGACGGCCTCTTCCACGCAGCGTTGTGTTGCGACTTCCAGGGCGATTCTGCCAGCCAAGCAAACATGGAGCTCCAGAGATCGGCGGCTTCTTGCCTAGACCTTCGGGCACTACCTATTCTGATCGATACATTTCCCTTCTGGGATGGCCTAAAGGGTGTGTGTGAAACCCTGACCGATTAGTAGAGGACAGTGGGGGGATTTCATGGAGGGGTGATGGGCCCCTCTCGCGGGCAGGTCTCCCCACCAGGGCACTAACCCTATTTGGTGAAATCCCCTCTCTGGTTGGTCCTACGGGGATGAGGCCCACCCCAACTGGGAGGAGTTCTAGGAGGGGGTCACATGACCCACTTCCGAATGGGTCACTCTCCCCCAGAACTTTCCCTCATTGTTCAAATCCATTCCTGAGGCAGATGGATGGAGATAAAACACCCCCAGATTGGTAGAGGAGTGGGAGGAGCTCTTAGAGGGGTCACATGCCACTCCTTGCTTCCGCTCATGTTTCCATCTTGACCCCAAAAGTCTTATGTCATGGGGTCAGTCTCATGGTGACAGATGATGCCTTAGGGGTGACGGGCGAGGTCCCATGGCTGAAAGCAAATAACTGCCCTTAGCCTCAGGGTGGTTTGGCCTAATGGCCAGAGTCAAAATGTCTGACCTCCCACGTAGGACCGTGTGGCCTAACGAGCAGAGTCCGTGCGGCCAGCCTCTCTGTCAGGGCTGTGTGGCCCAACGACCACAGTCCGTGCGGCCGCCCGCTCCGTCGGGGCTGTGGGGCCTAATGAACAGAGTCCCTGCGGCCACCCTCTCCATCGGGGCTGTGGGGCCCAACGACCAGAGTCCGTGCGGCCGCCCTCTCCATCGGGGCTGTGGGGCCCAACGACCAGAGTCCGTGCGGCCGCTCTCTCCATCAGGGCAGTGGGGCCCAATGACCAGAGTCCGAGCAGCCGCCCTCTCCGTCGGGGTGTGTGGCCCAACGACCAGATTCCGTGCGGCCGCCCTCTCCATCGGGGCTGTGTGTCCCAGAGACCAGAGTCCGTGTGGCTACCCTCTCCGTCGGGGCTGTGGGGCCCAACAACCAGAGTCCGTGCAGTCGCCCTCTCCGTCGGGGCTGTGTGGCCCAGAGACCACAGTCCGTGCGGCCGCCCTCTCCGTTGCGGCTGTGTGGCCCAGAGACCAGAGTCCGTGCGGCCGCCCGCTCCGTCGGGGCTGTGGGGCCTAATGAACAGAGTCCCTGCGGCCACCCTCTCCATCGGGGCTGTGGGCCCCAACGACCAGAGTCCGTGCGGCCGCCCTCTCCATCGGGGCTGTGGGGCCTAACGACCAGAGTCCGTGCGGCCGCTCTCTCCATCAGGGCAGTGGGGCCCAATGACCAGAGTCCGTGCAGTCGCCCTCTCCGTCGGGGCTGTGTGGCCCAACAACCAGAGTCCATGCGGCTGCCCTCTCCGTCGGGGCTGTGTGGCCCAGAGACCAGAGTCCGTGTGGCTGCCCTCTCCGTCGGGGCTGTGTGGCCCAGAGACCAGAGTCCGTGCCGCTATCCTGTCTCTCATGCCTGTGTGGCCCGATGGCTCCAGACAATATGACTGCTCTCTCCCTCAGAGCTGTGGGGTCCAGAGACTAGGGTCAATATCGCTGCCCTTCAGAACAGGGCTGTTTAGCTGAGAGTTCAGAGACAAGATGGCTGCCCCTCCTCTTTGGGCTGTGCAGTCTAGTGGCATACTGGGGAGGTGGGCTGCCACCCAAGGACGGATGGCAGCCAGGGCAGGGGGACCCGGGCCCTTGTTACTCCACCGGCTCCTAGCCCAAGGCCTTGTCCATGGCCAATGTGTTTGCCATTGATTCAGTGGGGATCCAACCAGAACATCTGACGTCACTCAGCATGACAATGGCTGGTTCACCCAGGTTACTTCCTACAAGATGTCTCTAGGCCATGGGCTGGGGGTCTCTGGGCTCCCGGCATAGGAAACTCCCAGAGACTCCAATCTCCCCTGCACGTCTGCAGGGCCTTGGGGATGCGGCTGGGTCTTGGCTTCTCGCGGCTCTGCATTCAGGGGCTTCAGCTGCTTCTGGACTGGAGCCCACAATGTGCATCCTCCATTTTCGGCGCTCTGCCTAGACAGAGCTGAGCTGCTCCCTTTCACACGGGTGCTCCAGCTGTAGCATGTCCGGCAGGGCTGGGGAGGGGCTTGGCTTCCTCCGCCTAGACTATGGGGTTCTGTGTGGCTGGTGCACCCGGCACATCCTGCTCTGCCTCTTCTGTCTCCTCCTTCCCAGGCAACAGCTGCTTTGGCGTCTCACAAGAGATGTGATCGGCGGTGGGCTCAGTTGGCTCCTGTTAGCCTCTAGATGTCTGTAGGAGGGAGAAAGGGCAGGAACACAAATCAGAAGAATAAAACCTTCAAGCAGGGTAGTTTTCCACGCCACAACCCCCCCCCCACACTTTGCTAAAGCTCATTTGCAACTTCCCTGAGAGCTGGCATTGCTTAAAGAGAGCACCCACCCCCCGCAAGCGCCGCTGCCCTGTGGGCTGGCAATGGTTGAAGGGAGTCTGGGAGAATTTCTCCTCTCTCCGCCTGGCTCTGATGACTGAGGGAATCACATGCGAGAAGCTGTGTGAATGTTGGGCTCGGTGCAGTGGGGTGAGATGTCAGACATGGAGCCCAAAGGTGGGGTTGTCCTGACTCTGCAGTAACTTCATTCCAGTCAGAGAGATTTCAGAGCTGAGCTATGGGGTTCTGCCCTGTAACTGTGTGTGGGGATGGGGCAGAAGTGGGGCAGTGATGCACTCATGAAAGGAGTAGGGCTAAGGGGGGGCCCGTGCTGCAGCCACTAAAGCCCCTGCGTGCTGCGTTCCGGTCGCGCCGGCTCTGCCTGGCTGGGGTGGGGGCGAGGCTGCTCCACGCGCTGCCATTCCCCCCCCCCCCGAGCCGCGTTCCCACGAGGAGCACCACACCGGGAACCTCTGTCCCTGGTGCTGGTCTTGTCTGTAGGCTCCGCCCCCCCGCAGCTCTCATTGGCCGGGAATCGTTAATCCCGCCCTGGCCCTACTCCCCAGCCCGTTCTAATCCTGCTCTTGACTCCTGACTCCGTCTCCAACCCTTGGCTCCCCTCGGCTCGACCTCCACCACCCTGACCACTAGGCCCCACCGCCTCTGCTCCAACCCCTGGGTCCAACCATCCGTGCTTTGGTGTCCGACACCAGCGATACGTAGGAGTCCTTCACCTCACTGCGTATGGCCCTGCCTTTGTCACCACTGGTTTTCATCTGCCATTGTTCTGCCCAGTCACATGGCTTCATTAGATCCCTTTCAACTGCTTCAAAGTCTTCTCTACATAATTTTGTGTCATCTGCCAATATCCACCTCATTGTTCAGTCCCGGTTCCAAATATAAGAACATAAGAAAGGCCATACTGGGTCAGACCAAAGGTCCATCTAGCCCAGTATCCTGTCTTCTGACAGTGGCCAATGCCAGGTGCCCCAGAGCAAATGAACAGACAGGTAATCATGTAGTGATCAATCCCCTGTCCACCATTCCCAGCTTCTGGCAAACAGAGGCTCGGGACACCAAAACGTTGAAAAGCGTCTGTTGTACGTACCATAGCAGGACAAAGAGGTCTTCCGTGTCGGTCACAGTTCCCTAGTCAAATGCAGAACCCGACACAAGATTTGCAAGCTTCTGCAGCCATTTGTAATGTCTCCTGAGGATGCACCCTGTGGTCCTGTCAGATGTCAAAGGCACTTCCTGAAAAGCTGAAACAAAGAGGAAATGGGTTGAAAGCCCCATGGTGCTGATGTGACTGGTGCCTAGGAAACCTCCCCTTCAGATGGCCGTCGCCACATGCTATTAACTACCCAAGAGTCTGCGGGCACAGAAACAACTCTGCTACTCCCAAAATAGCCCTGGACAGAGAGGAGACCCCATTCTGTGCGTAACTTCCCCCTCCTCCAGCATACACCCGGTCACACACACGTCCACACACGAAAACACAGGCAGGTGGGGGTAATTGTTCTTGGGACGTAACAAAAAAGTGACAACAGCAGAGGTGTTAAATCATCAAACATTTATGCACAGATCCGCAAAGGAATTTAGACTGAAATCCTTTGTGGCCCTGTGCCTTCATTCTTTAAGACGTCACAGGGAAAGATGTTTCCCATGTGCACTCAGGGGATTTCCTATGAGCTGATAACCAATCTCTCAGTGGTTCCCTAGCCTGCAATCACTCCATTACAGGGAGGGCAGGTGATGAATCTTTCCCTACAGAGGGTAATTGTCATCATTATCATCATGCTTAATAATAACAACAGCCCTTTTCAATTCTGTCCGGCCTTCCTTTAGAGACTTTCTGACCTTTCTGAAGACAGTCTCCCCACACAGCTCTAAGGCTACCTCTATCCTAGGAGCTAGGGATGGTTATCCCCTGCTCCCGTACACATCTTGTGGGACCTCAATGAAAGCTCGTGTGACCATCCTTCTTCTTTAAACGCTGTCCTTAGCCAGAGAGGGACACATTCAAACCTGTGTTCAGGCCTTGTGATGCACCCCTGTACTTCCCACAGAGGCACAAACACACAGAGCTATTTCCTTACCTTCATACAGGCGGGAGATGCCATCTTCAGTCACGGTTTCAGACAACAAGTCGCAGTAATGGCGGATAGTATTTCCTAGACATACAATGGATCTCATTACTTTTCAAATCCTTTGCTGAAAACTGCTAAAGGTGCAGCCATTCCCCCAAGACAGCCCTTGGGAAATTCAATACATTCCTTCCATCTGCTCACAAAGCACATAAAAGCATCTGATGCACAGAAGTTACTGAGAGGCTGATTTCCAAAGGAGATTGAATTCACATCATGCGGGTTTCCACTAGGCGCAGCCAAAGAGTTGTTGTGGGCAGGGGAAGTTGGTGCAATCAATACAGCTAAATTGCTCCCTTAATCTTGGAATACATGTTAATTCTGTCTCTCTCTCTCTCACACACACACACACACCAGAAGTC